TGTCACATGTACTGAACAGACTTATTTTTCCTTTAAATTGCATAAAATGGATAAAAAAGTTTAAAAAATACCCTTCACTTAATCACACTGTATCAGTGATTAATATTACAGCCACAGAAATTAGTTATTGCTTTTACTGGTCGAGTGATATTTGGACACTTTAAGTGACAGAAAACTAAAGGTTAAAGTTAAAGTTGAAGTGAGTGCATGTATGGGAGAATAACTACATATACATGGAGTCGTTCTGTGAATTTAAACCTTTTCTTAACTGAAGAAACTTAGGCGTCACGTCAATGTGTGTCTCACTTCATCTTATTGCTTTCATTTCATAATGAGATGGAGAGGAGGCTTTTGATTCAGTGTTTGTAGCTGTGTGTGTGTGTGTGTGTGTGTGTGTGTGTGTGTGTGTGTGTGTGTGTGTGTGCGTGTGTGTGTGTGCGTGTGTGTGCATGTGGAAGATGCCTCTGATGTTTCTATCAAGGCACCCTGAGAGTTTGCAGCAGCTTCTTTCATCTGTCATTCTTGTTTTTTAAATCCACATCTTGAACTTAAACATATTTTTATGTGGCGTGTTGTTGAAATGGCAGATTCATCAGTCCTTGATGTTTGAGGAGTGTAATCAGAATAACTAAGGAGGGGAAGAGGCAGTCACCCAGTTAAAGATGTTACTCTACATCCACTCGACTATGTTTTCATTTTAAAACAGCGTTTTGAAACGAAAACAATCTCCGTCCACACAAACACACCTGAAAACACACATTACTGAGCAATCACCTGCACTGAGCGTGTGTGAGCCGGTGTAAACAGGAAGTAGATTGTCTCCTCTGCAGTAAAGCCTCTGAAGGAGGAGCAGCAGAGACAGTTGTAGCACATCATCAGAGAGTGTAAGTGAACAACAGACAACAAGGTCAGTAACTCTGTCATTCATCATCATGTTGTATTCACCACTGGTAGTCCAGGCTGATGAGAGCCAATCAGGAGAGACCGTGGGTGTGTCTTCATCATTTACAGAGGTCTCAGTTTCTGTCCAGACTACAACACAACCGCAGAGTTTTCAAAATAAAACACAACCACAGAGTTTTCAAAATAAAACGGGTTTCCAAAAGTCTCAGTTTTCGGTGCTCGAGTCGTGTGGACGGGAGGAGGAAACGTAGCAGAAAAGATGAGTTTTAAAACTAAAAAGTAGTAGTGTGGACGTAGCCTTACGTAGCCCCCATCCCCCACCCTCCTCTCAGAATGAATTACAATAACTTTTCATTTGTCCAATACTTTAGTTTATGACTAAATACCTGCTGAAGTAATGACTGTCCCATCACCCTCAACTCTACTGTGTTAATTAGCTTAGTTAGTTAATTAGCTAATGTTAGCATGCTAAGCTAAGATGGTGAACGTGGTGATCTGGGAACAGTCGCTGTCATCACTCAGTCAGCATTTTATTCACTGGTCTCTATGAGAAAATGAGGAAACTGAAACCTTTTGTGATTTTAACAGTGATTACTTTGTTGATTGTTCTTTGGCTAGCTGACAAATTTAACTACACTCACCCAAGTTTATGGGGGGGGGCACATTTATTATCTGCCCACTACTAAAGAGGACCTGTAATATTGCCAAATGAGCAGATGGGGGAGGGAGCTTATTTCAGAGGTGACACACACACACACACACACACACACACACACACACACACACACACACACACACACACACACACACACAGTCCCCAGTGAGGAGGTGATGACATCATCACCGGGAATCCCTCCACCAGCTGTCCTCTGACATCACCAGGACCAGGAAATGTGTGTGTGTGTGTGTGTGTGTGTGTCATCTGTGAACCATGTGCCACATTTTGAGCCTTTAGGTTTCTCCTCATCGTGCACATTTAATTTTTTCTTCCCTCTCACGTTTTAATAAAACCTCTGCGTTGCTGCACATCTGTTCTCCTGCCTGTCAGACGTATTTATTTGGGATTCTGTGGAACGACACGGTCTGAAATCGGAGCTGGTTAGCGGCCTGGTTCTTGTCAGAGGTGCTACAGACCAGCCAAGTGTCACGGCCCTGACACAGTCTTAAATAGTCATTAGTGGTCTGATTTTTTTTCCCCACGTGCTGACAGCTTTCTTCGCACTCTTTCTTGGCACGGCCAGCTTTAATTTGTGGGTATAGATCTGTGATGAATGAGCTGTGGTCACCGTCACATCGCTGGGATACAGACACAAACCGCCGCTGTCCATCTGCTCTCAGTCGCTCTGATCTTTTTACACTCTGCTCCGATTCTCTCTGTTCACTCTCTTTCCTGACAGTTTTCTCACGTTTATCTCCGGAGCATTTAAACAGTTTCACGGCACGACTCGCTTTTCTCTGGTGTCTGTCGTCTTGATTGTAACACAGCACACAGCAGGGGCCAGAACATAATCAAAGGCTAATTTAAGATATTGATAAAAATTCAACTTTAATTTACTTTGTTACTTTTCATTTGTGGCGCTGGTAAAAAAAAAAAAAGATCATATGATCATCCTTCTGGGTAGAATCTCAATCCACCATCTCGCTCATCATCTGAATTCTGTTTCCACTCTGATTTTATTCTGAAAGTCCTGGCAGGAAGTTGTGATTCCTACCTTCCCTCTGCTGTGGCGCTTCTCTCGGATGTTTGTGAGCTCGTCCACTCACAGTCACATATTCTACGTTTGACTGATTTACTTTACTTGTCAAGCGAGCGATAGAACCTTTGGAACTTCCTTCCAAAACTTTTCAGAATAAAAGCTCACAATAGCTTGAAAAATAAAGCATTGTCGCTGCAAAATTATTTTCTAGGCAAAATCAATAAAGATTAAAAAAGCCCAGATATTATCGCTAATATTTTGTAGTTGCAGTTTCGCTCTGATATAGGAATTGTTGAGATCTACAATGAAATAAGATTTTACCTGTTGTCTTTGCCACGTTTGCCGTCCTCCATGTTTGTTTGCCTTTATGCAAATTCCTCGCCTGCATCCGTGTCACGCAGAAGAACTCAAAGTGGCGTCCAAAAGCCGAACAGTGTTGCCGTGAAGAGTGTGATTTGCGACACAATGAAATAAACAATAGAGCATCATATGAAGCAGTAGACGGTTTTTTTTATTGTCACATGATCTATATCGTAATATCAGACCTGCCTGGAAATATGCTAATTTATGCTCCTGCTGAGTTTTAGATGAGAAGATCGATACTAGCAGCCAGTTAGCTTAGCTTTGCAGAAAGACTGGAAATGGCTCGCTTATATCTCTGTCCAGCAAAACCTGCACATCAGGACAAAAACAACAACCATAACTAACAAGTTCTTGGCACAGCTCAGTGTAAAACTGCACGTTGACTTGTTTTTAAAGTTGGTATTCGTAAGGATTAAGATGTGACGTGTTAATTGTTGAGTTTTAGAGATGGTGGTGAGTGAGTTTTGTTACCTTTACACAGAGCAAAGCCAGTCTTTATGCTAAGCTAAGATAAGCTAATCTTCTAATCTAACTCTCAGCAAAAACAAAACACAAAGTATATTTTCCCAAAATGTCAAACTATTCCTTCCTGATTTCGTTCGTCTTGCACTTATCTGTCCCGGTCTCTCCGCCTCTCCCGTTATCTGGACTTGTGGTTTATGACCCATGAGTGAATGTTCCTCTCACACCTCCACCTCCAGCTGTCTGAGGCATGTGTTATTGCAGCGAATAAAAACCCAGGGACAGGAAGTGACAACACGGGAGGAATGCTGTTATAACACTCGGCCAGGCCTCGGGGGGATCGGGACAAGGGAGGGAACGAGCAAACGGGGATTTAAAGTTGAGGAGAAGAAAGGTTAAATTGACTGATGCAGGAGGAATAACACTGATTTCCTGCGTATTGCACAGAACTGAGGGACGAAGCCGGGAAGAAAACAAGAGGATGGTAGAATTGAAAATAACTGGATCTGGAGACAGTTCTCCCCGGGAAAGAAAAAGCTGATAGAGTAAAAACATGAATCCAAATGAAAAGAGGACATTTATCTACATATAATATTTAGTTTGTTTCTCATATAAGACAATCGTTGCAGGAAAAGAGAAAAGCAGCTCTGTACACAGTCGTATACAAACATGAGAACTCGCACATTTCCTCTTATTTTTCTGCATTTTTAATCCACATTCCTACAGGCTTATGTAAGCAGTGTGCTCCAGTGTGTCGGTATTGCTCACAAGTGTGTGTGTGTCTCTGTGTGTGTGTGTGTGTATGTGTGTGTGTGTGTGTAGCTGCTGCTAGCGGGTGTGTGCTAATTCACAGTTTAGCCCAATTTAGCCCAGTTGTGTGCATGGCGTCACAGTTCTTGTGAGTAGTCTTTCTTTTTATCAGCGCGGCTTCATTTACTGAGCGAACAAAGGAAGAGCTCTGTGAAGATTGCCGCTGATTATACCCACTCACACTTACACAGCGGTGGGTTTTCAGCATCTGCGTCATCTGCTGTCGGTAATTGCTATGAGCTTTGTTATAGTGTTGTGATTTCTCCCCCTACTATTAGACCTAACCAGTATGTTTGTTCTGGTTGTAACAGCTCAGAATAACCAGTTTGTGACTGTGCTCAGAGCCGAGCTCCGTCACACTGAAAGCAAACGCCTTGAGGAGAGGAAGGATGCTTTAAGATGTTACTCTGTCAACACTGTGCAGATTGTGTTGTACAGTGTGTGCCTGTCTGGAGGAGACAGAGCCAGAAATAACATCTGCCGTTCACTCGGCACCTTTTGACCAAAGTCTGTGGCACTACCAGGAATGCATATTTTTAAACCATGATGGGAGTGTTTTTTACTTTTATTGGTGACGCAAGATAAAAACAAAGAGAATGATAACAAGACATGAAGTGACGTGACGTAACATAAGATAATGTAACATAACAAGACAAGACATAAGATGTAACAAGAATGAATGATGATGAATGTCAATAATACATCCTATGGACTGGAATGTAAAACGTCGGCCATGCTGTGTATTTCCTTGACGGGATCCTCCAGTTATGGGGCCCCAGGTGTGGAGTTCACAGGACTACACAAAGACACCACCGCAGTGACACAGATCCACTTCCTGCCTGGACAGGTGAGCTCCATGACAGTGTAAAAACAACATATATATGTATATATATATATGTATGATAATGGTGGTGAAACTGATGTGTGATAATGTCTGACTGGCTGTGTCATAGGGCCGCCTGCTGTCACTGCTGGATGACAACACGATTTACCTGTGGGAGCTGGTGGCGGGTGCTCCCAGAGAGGTGGGAGGAGTTAAGAAAGAGGGCGTGGTCTCCCTCCAGGAAGTGGGCAACTACAGCCTCCCAGGAAGACCTGGCATCGAGAGCTGCAGGTGAACGAGAGGCTGTTTGTCCTGTTTTACATGCTGCTGTTATTGTTTTTGTCTTTTAGAGGAATTTTGGAATTTCAGAAGACAGTCCCACCCCCTCTCTTAGTCCCACCCCTCTCTTAGTCCCACCCCCTCTCTCAATCTGGCGGCACATTGGCGAGTCTTATGATTATGCGTGTCAGAGTTATTCGTCATTAACATGCTCGCTCCTCCTCCTCCCCCTCCTCTTCCTCTTGCTCCTCTTCCCCCTCCTCCTCCTCCTCCTCCCCCTCCTTCTCCTCCTCTCCTCCTCCTCCTCCTCCTCCTCCTCTTGCTCGTCTTCCTCCCAGTGCCACTCGGGTGACCGTCCTCCTCTTGCTGCGGTCATGTGACCTGCTCTGCATCGGAACGGAGGGAGGGGGCGTGTACTTCCTGCAGTTGCCCTGCCTCTCACTGAAAGACAACCAGACGCTGCTCCAGGATCAGGTCATGCAGAGGTGAGACTGCAGCATCAATTCCTTATTTCTTTTTTTTCTTTCTTTTTTAATGATTTATTGATTGAATTTTCCAAATTACAGAGCTATAAGATTAATTAATTAAATTAAAATTAATAAATAACTATTAACATGTTAAAGTAATCCCTTAAGGCCAATCAGCCCAACCCCCCAGCACACAGGAGCCATTACGAAGTTACAGAAACCAGAGGAGTGAAAATTAAATTAAAATAAAATAAATAATGATTAAAAAAGGATAAAAAGGGGATGAACATTTTCACTTTTCCATGATGAAGCGATGCATTTGTTTCCAGCGATCACGGCCAGTTTTATAAACCGCTCCTTGTTTCTTTTTGGCGGGAGGGAAGTCAGGTATGTCGCTCTGAACAGGTAACTTCCCGACTACATATGACGACCTCACTCAAATAAACCCGAACTATCCCTTTAAGGTTCAGAACAAAGTTTTTACCTCACACAAAAAGCTGCATGAGCTTAATAAACTTACATGATGTGGCGGGGGACACTTCACACACAGACCCCCACCACTGCATCAAAGACTTTTGATGGTGGTTTTATTATGTCCACCCTCTACATACTAGAAACGTCGTTTGTTTTTTTTCATGCTCCAACCGTCTTTGCTGCTGCATTCCTGTGTTGATGCTCTGGCAGCGAATCACAGAGCTGGTGTTGTTTCTTTTTTATTCTGCTGTGTGACTGTCTCACTGCGCGGCCAAACCCCTCATTAACTAGGCTTGTTTAGGGAAGTGGGCAGAACTGAGGCCTAACGAGGGCCCTGATAAGAGTGTGTGTGTGTGTGTGTGTGTGTGTGTGTGTGTGTATGCGTGTGCGTGTGTGCATGTGTGTGCGTGCAAAGGAGGGTAGTTTTTAGACAGTGAGGCTTTGTACCGGCTGCCAAAACGCGGTGTTCCGGTTGGGGAAGTGTTTCAGCTGTTTCTCCGTTGTGCACACACATACACACACACATGCACACACACATGCACACGCACACAGAGGCTCATCACCGGGACTCTGTAGCAGGATGCTGAATTCCCTAAAAATACTTGTGAACGCAGCGACGGAGACAATGGAAAGCTTTGTCGGGAATGTTTCTGCCTCTGTGCTTCCGGAGAGAGGAGCTTCCTCAGTGAACCCCACCAAAGCAGTCGGAAGTCTGTCTGTGTGTGTGTGTGTGTGTGTGTGTGTGTGTGTGTGTGTGTGTGCCTGTCCTATCTCTTTTGCGATGGTTCTGCCTCATCCACAGCTAAGAGCCTAGGAAGCTGCAGTGCTTCACTGCCCCTCCCTCCCTTCTTTGTTTGTTTATTTGTTTGTTTGTTTTCACGTCTTTTTCTGCGTCTCTGCTGCTTCCTTGTCTTCCCTCCTCTGTCCTCTCCCTCCCTCCTCTCGTCTTCTGTCCGTCGCTCAGGGAATCCTCTGACATCTCGCGGGTGTGTCCTGCTCCACATTCCTCTGCTGCCTCAGAGGAATGTCTCGTTCAGAAGCTCCAGCTCTATGTTACTGTTGTTGTTGTTGTTGTTGTTGTTGTTGTTGGAGTGTGAGCAGTCTGCTGTACATACAGAGGGTGACACAGAGGGTTTGCACTTTGTGTTGATTGTGTTATACGTAAGTTTGAACGCTTGATGTTTTGGTGTAAAAGAACAGGAGGCTTCGGATCTGGGACTCCTCCAGTTTTTTCCCTCAAGCCCCAGTCGATAACAAGTTTAACCCTCTGCGGTCGACGGATGTTTCCATGAATATCTCTGCGATAGTACAGAGTAGAAACATGGTTTAAACGTTGTTAGAATCAGTAGACTCTCCGCTTTCTGTTTCATATTCCTGTGAGATCGTACGTGACTCACAGGCGGAGCTAGAAAGCCCCGAAGCAGGCCTCTAAAATTTGGTTAGAGAAACAAGACTTTTCATTTTAGGCATTTATTAAACATTTATCTGCTATTCTACTAAGACTTTGTTGAACACATTTCAAGCACCAAAACAATTCCTCCACATCAGTAAAGGTTTGTTTTCACAAGAATTTAAAAAAAATCTGGGCTTCAATTTCTCAGCATTTGGGCCAAATAATCTCTTTGCTCGGTGTCAAGAGGGTGAAAACAGCGGAGATTGTTCTGGGAGTTGTGATGTGAAACACGTTGTTTATATGTTTTATTTATTTATTCTTTTGTCCAGCCTGCCAGATGACTACAGATGTGGCAAGTCCTTGGGGCCCGTGGAGTCGCTTCAGGAACATCCTCAACAGTCAGGGAAGATTCTGATTGGCTACAGCCGAGGCCTGGTGGTCCTATGGGATCTGAGCGCTCGTCACGCCGACCAGCTCTTCCTGGGCAAACAGGTAGTTTGTTTGTTTACTCACCTGAGGTTTAGTTCACAAATAACTCAAGTAACTGTGAGAGGTGCGCTTGATTTTAATGTCACTGCAGTTACAACTCCTTCCGGTGTCAGCGAGTTACCAAGTTAACATTGTTGTGTGTGTGTGTGTGTGCGCGTGTGTGTGTGTGTGTGTGTGTGTGTGTGTGTTAACCCCCCCTCCCCCCCCTTTGCAGCAGCTGGAGAGTCTGGTGTGGGAACGCTCTGGAAGCTTGTTTGTCAGTTCCCATAACGATGGGGGCTACTCTGTTTGGCCTGTTACCAATGGCAACACCTACAATCACCAGCCAGTGTCATCCACCATCCCATATGGTGAGAAACACACAAACACACACACATACACACACACACACACACACACACACACACAGGTCTGGTGGAGGTGATGGTTCTGTTTCACGATGGCAAAATGAACCATGTCTGATGACAAATTGTGACTCACTGGGGCTCGTTGTCATGGTGACAGTTAGGGTCATGGTTAAGGGGGGGGGTCTGTCCACTACAAGAGGATCCACACACACACAAAAAAATATATATGTGTTTGTGTGTGTGTTTTTATTATTATTATCATTGTTACTCACTCTTCATGGTCGTCTGTCCCAGGTCCATTTCCCTGCAAGGCCATCAGCAAGATCCTGTACCGGACAGCAGAGACGGGGTGAGAGCTGAAGCCTCGTGTCGTGACATTTTTCCTGTGTGAGAACATGTGATTCCTGCAGTCAGACTGGGCGTCTCGGGTCTCAGCGCCAGAACATTTTTTACTCCTCCTTCCTTTTTATTCTTCTGCTTTTCATCTTTCTTTTCTTTTTGTCCCTGTGAATGAAAAAAGATTACTGTTTTCTCTAGTTGAAAATGTTGATTACTGAAAAAGATAAAAACAACAGTCTTTGTTCAGTAAATGTTTTTATGATCTGGATTTCACTCAGGTTTTTTGTAGTATAGATTTCTCTCTTATTTTTAAAATTCAAAATAAAAGCTCATTTGCAGATGTAGAAAACGTCCCCACTCGTCCTGGAAACTCAGATGATTGATGGATGAAATGCTTTTGTGTGTTCCTTCGCTGCAGTTCTCCGGTGCTGTTGTACAGCGGCGGGATGCCCAGAGCCAGCTACGGCGACCGCCACTGTCTGACCGTTCAGCAGGACAAAGACCACGTCACTCTCGACTTCACATCGCGAGTCATTGACTTCTTCACGGTCCACAGCACGGAGCAGGAGAAAGGTGGGGGGGAGAGGGGGCCTGATGCGTCTCCATCGATTCGTTGATTTGAAGACGTTTTCAGGAACGTCATCACATTTTCTGTCCCGTCTCTTGTCCTCACAGAGTTTGACGACCCGTCGGCGTTGGTAGTGTTACTGGAGGAGGAGCTGGTTGTAATCGACCTCCAGACCCCCGGGTGGCCGTCTCTGCCGACGCCTTACCTGGCTCCCCTCCACTCCTCCGCCATCACCTGCTCCTGCCACATCTCCAGCGTCCCGCCGAAACTGTGGGAGAGGCTGGTGAACGCCGGCAAAGCACAGCAGGGCCTGCAGCACACGCACAGGGTGAGAGGCAGGGCGCCGTCTGCGCAGTACAGTTAAACAGGAAACACACGCACGCACAACAAGTGGGTGGTGACTCATTAATCCTCTTTGTTTTCAGGTCGTCCATACGTCCCGTTCTCATGGACTCGATTCAATTTTGGAGCAAACATTCACTAGAACACAAGAGTGAACTGATTAGGTTTTGGGGGTCAAAGGTCACGGTGACCTCAGGAAACTTTTTTAGGACAAAGTTTCACACCAAAGGTTCATATTGTCTCTGACTCTGGATAAACAGATGTAACAGGGAACTAGTCTGTGTGTGGCGGAGGGATACGACCGCGAGGAGGCGGTTCTAGTTTTAAAACTCGACTTCGATTGTGCGGCTGTCAGTGCTCTTTAACAATATTTTAAATACTCTGAATTATTCCAGTAAATTGTTCTTCTGTCAACTCATAAATCCTAGAAAATCCCCAGTTGGCTGTTTTCTCAGAGCTTGTGAAATCTTTATTAGATGCAACACTTTGCTGCTTTTTGTGGAACTTTTGGCCACTGTGAAATCTTGTGTGTCCAAACACAATATTCAGAGCGTCTCCATGTTTTTATACGTCGTGGACTTTGTTGCAGAGACTGGAAAACGTAGATGACGCTGAATAGTGTAGAAATATGTTCAGTGAACTCCCGCATTGAGGAAAAAAGAGGAGAAAATGTGCTTTTGTTTTGTTGCTTTTGATCTTTTTGTTTCTCACACATTCTTTTGGCGTCACGGAAAAGTTCCTTCTCTGTGCATTAGAGTTGATTTCTGCTCTTTCTTGGTCTGAGGCCGAGTTACTGGTGGAGCTGCAGCTGCTGGCAGGACGCTGCAGAACAGGATTATTCTGTAAATTGGTTTATTCATGGCGGTGGGGATGTTCATTTACAGCGAATCAAGGATGCATGTAAGCAGCTTAACCTGAGGACACCTTAAGCAGAGCGTTCACGCTTTTCATTGATTTTATTTTCAAATATGTTTCAGTGAGTCAAAGAAAATCACACACACAGCGAACTGTCGCCGCGGCGCTCGTTTATACGTTCACATTTATAAAAACATATGATGTGAAAGAAAAATAAAGAGAGAAATAAAAACAAGTAAATTAAATATTTACATGAAGTGAAAATTGACAAAAACAAATGTGTACGACTGAATAATAAATAATTAAGGGAGAAAAGATTAATCTGAATCTAAGACTCAGGTGAGGGAGTCCAGGAGAAGAGCTTTTATTCCTTGATCTTCCCTCTTGGATTTCTTTTCTTAAATCTCCCATGTTTTAAATATGGCCGCCGGCACTCGCCAGTGTTCACGTACGTACAACCAGCACGCTCACAGATTCAAGCTGCAGTGTTTTATTTGGATTTGTTGGATTTTTCAGCTTCTAAAAAACTTTTAGACACCACAGGTAGCAGGTATGAGTGTGCAGCTCACTGGACAGGTGACAGGTGTGTCCACAGTGTCTGTCTCTGGAAGGAAGCATGAAACATTATCTGTTCCCTTGTTCCCAGAGAGGACATGCAGCAGGTAAACCCAGCACTGCTACTGGTCCCTCATGACGTAGATGTAACCCTTTCTACCACATGCCTGTCAGGTGTCGTATCGAGACCGGAGAGCAGTTTAAATGGGTAATAAGCGGTTGAATGGACGTTGTTACTCACGGTGCTTGTTGATCTGAGCTCAGGCGCTGGCAGCCGCTCAGCTCCGAGGAAACCGGCAGGAGTGTGACCGTCAGCCTGCTGCTGCTGCTGTGTGTGAACTTTAAGAGCAGGTGTAGGCAGTTAAAGGCTTTGCAGAGTCTTTGTAGCTCAGATCAGCTGTTTGATCAGTGGCAGATTAAACTAACACACACACACACACACACACACACACAGATGCACAGCTGGTGTGCTCGTAAATCACGGCTGCGTCTGTCTGAGCGAAGCCAAACCAGAGAGACTGGCACTGAAACAGCAGCAGCGGTGGTGTCAGTGTCTGTGTGTCAGGGTTACTACATTTTGAGATGGGGTCATGGTGAAAATTGAAAGGGTTAGAAAATATGTTGTTGTTCTGTCAAGTTCAATTTTTGAATTTTTTTATTTATTTTTTTTCTCCTGCAGCTTTTCATAATTTTTTTTATTTGACTGTGATGAAGTTTCTCTGTGTCTGTGCAGAGCTGGCCCATATGTGGAGGGAAAAACCTGGCACCTCCACCCAAACAACAAGAGCTGCTGTTGACAGGGTATGTACACACACACACACACACACACACACATTAACACTTAAACACTCACAGGCTACGTCCACACTGCAGATGCATACAGCTGTCTTCCTTTTTTCTTCATGACACAACTCTGGCTCAGATCTGATCCCAGTGAAGCGACTAAAAGTTTTAGTTTTAGCTTTTCTTTTCTTTTTTTTTTTTTGGTTTCATTTCTGATCCGAACCACATGAAAATACTGGATAAATCTGGATCCACATGCGACTTCCAGATACCGAAACCAGAATTTGTCAGCATTGTCATGACGGTAAGAAAATCCTGGAACAACTGGCAGAATCTTTCTCCAGATATTTGGCAGAAGTGGCGCCGACACTCACCAGAGGCGGAAACGATCGGATTGATTCTCAGCTGTGGAAACTGTCACCGTCACACACACACACACACACACACACACACACACACACACACACCAGAGCCGGACGATAAATCGATTTTATAGATTAATCAGAACTCATGGTTTATAAGAATGAAAATCGAATTTCACTTTAACTTCATTATGTAGCAACACGAGTCAAGACACAAGTGAAATATCAACATGGGAGCAGAAAAGAAACGCTGCAGTGTCTCCTCCGTCGTCTGGAAGCCGTTCCATGGTTCTCTGAACGCAGCAGCACGACTAATTTATTCCAGCACCTCAGACATGCAGCTGAGTGGGAGGAGTCTGTGGCACAAAACGGCAGCGGCTCTAAAACACCTGCTGAAAGATGAAGACGAGCGGTGTCCCGGTAGAAAGACGTTACAGAGGCAGAAGAAAGCGCCTCGTCTCTGAGTTTTATTTTAATTAACATGCAAATAATCTACGTTTAATTTTGTTGCAAATAAAGTTGCAATAAATTTTTTCAAGAGGCTTTTATTTATTTTTAAAAAGTGAAGTTTGGTGAAATTTACTTTGCAGAATGTATTAAACCCAACAGGGAAACTCTTCTTTCTTCATTTGCTTTTGTTTTCTGTATAAACAAAACTAAACTTTGTCTTTCGTAGTTTGTTTTTGAGAGAAATAAAAGATTTGCACATTCCTGAGTGATTTTCCACTAAAACACATTCAGGTCGTCGTGGTGATTTTGTCTGAGTGTCTCTTTACGTCCTGTGCGTCTCACAGACACGAGGACGGCACCGTTCGCTTCTGGGATGCGTCAGGTGTTGCCCTCACGCCGCTGTACAAACTCAGCACAGCCAATGTCTTCCACACCGACTGCGACCCCGGCGACGACCCTCAGGACCCCGGCGACGACCCCGACATGCAGCAGGAGGAGGAGTGGCCTCCCTTCAGGAAGGTGAGAGCCGAGGAGGCGTGAGGAGGAAAGGAAGCGGGGATAAGAGGGTTAAAGATCGGGCTGTGTCTCCTACACACACTCGGTCCTGTAACGCTACATCTGTGGCCTAATTTTCCCATCTGAATGCTTTCATGTGTTTTGGGTTTTCAGACGGACCCGCCCCATTGTTCCTGTTCAAACTCCACTTCTCCAGGAACCGCAGTCTGTTTTTTAACGCTCTTGTTTTCTGTGCAGAATTACATTTAAATGAAGTGACTCTGCGCCGGGCGGCGGGAGTCCGGCCTCGGTAGATGCCGACAGGAAATGGAAGACGGGTCGTGAAGCGAATGAATATTTAAATGAACTGAGTGTTTGGTCGGAGAGCAGCATCAGCTGGGATCATTAATGCCGACCATTAGTGTCAACACACACACACACACACACACACACACACACACACACACACACACACACACACCTCTTAGGCCTGTTTCCCTTTACTCCCGTCTTTTCTTCCTATTCACTCTTTCACCCCCCACCACACACACACACACCACACACACACACACACACACCACACACCACACACACACGCACACACACACCACACACACACACACACCCCCACCCACCTTTCCACATGTATCCTGTGGTAACGGAGCTGCATGTTCAGGAATGTGGCTTCATATGGGATGAAGAGCCTTTCCTTTTTCTCTCTCCTCTGTAATGAAAACCAGACCAATCAGCCCACTCTGTGTGTGTGTGTGTGTGTGTGTGTGTGTGTGTGTGTGTGTGTGTGTGTGTGTGTGTGTGTGTGTGTGTGTGTGTGTGTGTGTGAGACCAACTTCTCCTACTCCTTGTTTTGCCAAGACACAGCTCCCATGCGAGAGGGGATTCTGTTGGAATTCCTACTCTGTGTGTGTGTGTGTGTGTGTGTGTGTGTGTGTGACTGACAGATTAATGCACATGTTTTGCTGAGTATGTATGAGGGGAAGGGGGAAGGGGGGGGGGCTGCAGTAGAGGAGAGCTTCAGACGGACGTGTTGACATTGATCTGCCTGAACTGAATCTGATCAGATCAATAATCCAGAATGAGACTGAACACAGTTTTGTGAAGGAGTGAAGAGTTGAGAAAGAGAAACGCGCGTCTTGCAGCTGCTCATTCAGCAGCTGCTCAGATGGATGATGGGAGAAGACGGGAGAGATCAAATAATCTAGCGTTTAATTTTTTTGTTGCAAATAAAGTTGCAATAATTTTTTCAAGAGGCTTTGATTTATTTTTAAAAAGTGAAGTTTGGTGAAATTTACTTTGCAGAATGTATTAACCCCAACAGGGAAACTCTTCTTTCTTCATTTGCTTTTGTTTTCTGTATAAACAAAAACTAAACTTTGTCTTTCGTAGTTTGTTTTTGAGAGAAATAAAAAGATTTGCACATTCCTGAGTGATTTTCCACTAAAACACATTCAGGTCGTCGTGGTGATTTTGTCTGAGTGTCTCTTTACGTCCTGTGCGTCTCACAGACACGAGACGGCACCGTTCGCTTCTGGGATGCGTCAGGTGTTGCCCTCACGCCGCTGTACAAACTCAGCACAGCCAATGTCTTCCACACCGACTGCGACCCCGGCGACGACCCTCAGGACCCGGCGACGACCCCGACATGCAGCAGGAGGAGGAGTGGCCCTCCCTTCAGGAAGGTGAGAGCCGAGGAGGCGTGAGGAGGAAAGGAAGCGGGGATAAGAGGGTTAAAGATTGGCGCTGTGTCTCTTACACACACTCGGTCCTGTAAACGCTACAATCTGTGGCCTAATTTTCCCATCTGAATGCTTTCATGTGTTTTGGGTTTTCAGACGGACCCCGCCCCCATTGTTCCTGTTCAAAACTCCACTTCTCCAGGACCGCAGTCTGTTTTTTAACGCTCTTGTTTTTCTGTGCAGAATTACATTTAAATGAAGTGACTCTGCGCCGGGCGGCGGGAGTCCGCGCTCGGTAGATGCCGACAGGAAATGGAAGACGGGTCGTGAAGCGAATGAATATTTAAAATGAACTGAGTGTTTGGTCGGAGAGCAGCATCAGCTGGATCATTAATGCCGACCATTAGTGTCAACACAACACACACACACCACACACACACACACACACACACACACACACACACACTCTTAGGCCTGTTTCCTTTACTCCCGTCTTTTCTTCCTATTCACTCTTTCACCCCCCACCACACACACACACACAACACACACACACACACACACCACACACCACACCACACACGCACACACACAAACCACAACACACACACCACCCCCACCCACCTTTCCACATGTATCCTGTGGTAACGGAGCTGCATGTTCAGGAATGTGGCTTCATATGGGAATGAAGAGCCTTTCCTTTTTCTCTCTCCTCTGTAATGAAAACCAGACCAATCAGCCCACTC